ATAACAATTTGTGGCTATTCGACATTCATATAACGATTTGTTATGTATGAATTTTTAATATGAAATATTTTTATCTAGAAAATACGAGTTATTTAATAATTAAAAAAGAGGTAGTGTTGGCCATGTGGCTTTAGCGTGCGACTCTCATCCCTGAGGTCGTAGGTTCGATCCCCGGCTGTGCACCAATGGACTTTCTTTCTATGTGCGCATTTAACATTCGCTCGAACGGTGAAGGAAAACATCGTGTGTCAGGCACAGGAGGCTGATCACCTGCTTACCGATTAGATTAGCAAATGATTATGAATACCAATTAGATACAGAAATCTGAGGCCCAGACCTAAAAAGGTTGTAGCGCCACTGATGTTTAATAATTAAAAAAGTAATAATGTTAGCCTAGACTCTATGTTTAAGTCTATGTTTAAGTGTGCATCTCACATCTCTAAGATCGTGCGTTCGAATCACAACTCTGCACCAATATATCTATGTTCGCAATAGTACTTGCTTCTACTGTCAAGGCAAACATCGAGTAAACACGGATGCGGTTCTAAGACCCAAACATGTATACGTCAAGCACAAAAGGTTTTCCATCTTCTTACTTTTTTATAAATATTCAAAACGGTAAAATAATCGAATGCAATTTGAAACCAACATAGTATTGTCTTTGATTAACATAACCTTTACACATTTAAAGAAAAACTTTTTACCGGATTAAAGTTATGTATTATTATAAATTTACAATTATTTAACATAATTTCAAATTTATCCGACGTTTCGCGTGCTTTACAGCGACCACGCACGCATTAATCCGGTAAAAAGTTTTGTCTTTAAATTTGAAACCAAGCTTATGAATTGTTAATAAGTTGTATTTTTATTTATTATTATAAAAGCTTTGTTGATTCAGGCTGTTGTTTGATGTATAACATTTTAGTAGTTTTGAATTACAATATTCCGTACTTTCTACAAAGAAAACCGAAGTTAAATAAAGAAAATTTTTTAATATCTAAAAATCTATTACGATACCGGTCAAAGGCCAATTCCACGAAGTTTGTGATACCAAGAAGTCCTTTATCATTAATGGGCCCTTTGGTTACTTAATTGCACAATTCTATAAAGAAAAATCTCTTCATTAACTATTATTCATCCATCCATCCGTCCAGATTATCTTTTATGCCATATCCTTACACCAAAATAAAATTCGAGATACCTTCGTTCCGCAATATGGGACTAAGCGTATTTCTCGTCCTTTATTTATCGCCGGTAATAGCCTGCTATTCGGAAGGGATTGGTTTAAAGTGTTTTTATTGGGATCGTGTGTAGCCAATTCAATTTCGAAAAATACCTAGGGGGGAATCTTAAAAATATTTAGTAAATTTTCGTTATTTTGAACACATTCTAAATTTGTTAAGGAAATCTACTTTAAATGAATACGCTTACGTACTTCATAAAATAGGACGTTTCTGTGTAATGATATTTGTGTAACCTACATATCCTATTACATAGAAACAGCAATAACACAGTGAACGTTTACTTGATTTATTTGAGCAATCCAATATTTATACTCAATACTAAATACTAGTATATATAGTACTTATATAATTAATACGAATGATATTGCCGGTAAAACTTTTACTGCGCGTATTCATTTGATTTATTGCTGTTGTTTGCGCAGTTACTTTTAAAATGTCGTCCAAATGAAAGCTTTCAAATTAAGCTGTGGTAACTAAGTTGGAAAAAGTGGTTTTGGGGCTTCCAATCATGAGGGCTCCTCACTTGTTAGATCAATTGTGACGCATAAAACTATTTCATAGGTTTAGTAATTACTTTGATATGAGATGATAAAATAGTTATTGTATAAGCATATGCGTCCATGCGTCGGGTTGTCACTTTCCCTAAAATATGGCGAGGGGCCGATGGCTGGCCATGCGTCATACTCGTGAGCGGGTGCTACTTCTGGTGACTGTCGGACTTGAATTCGTGTATGCGGTGATGTTAGTTATTTCGACTATGATTTGCTTGTTGTTCCCACGAGAATGTAAGTGCGTGCTCCTATTTCACTATGCCTCCTGCTGTTAGAGGACAAATCTTTGTTTTTAATTTATTTTATTATTATTAATTAAATATTTATTACTTAAGAAGTCATGTGGAACATGGTGTAATGGTTGCAGCTGCTTACATAAAATAAAAATAAAAAAATAAAATATGTTTATTAAGGAACATAAGATATATGTGTCACTTATTCCACGTCATTAAATACGCCATAAAATTAAAAATATTAATTATATTACAGCAAGCAAAAAAAAACTTGGCGATTAAAAAGAGTGGCGGAGAGTTTATTGTCAGTTCTTCGCTTTCGTCCTTCGCCCTTGATTTGAGACCTGGCAGTAAATGTAAAATTAGAAGCAATTTATATGTAAGCTGGGATATAGTACCTCGATATAAAATATATATACCTCCATATATATATCTTTTTGTAGATCTTTCTTCTTAAGCCTCATTTTAGGGAGTAAAAATGTATAACAGACGTTTATATTTATACTAACAGAAAAATTTACAATTCAAATAGTAATAAATACATTTTTAAATTTATTAAAAACAATGGATCAAATGGAACAAAGGGTATCCGATGTTATGTTCCAAGAGATGGATAGAATTAAGATATCCTTTTCGTCACAATAACAATATTCCTCGCTTCAGGTTTGTTACAATAATTTTATCCATAAGGATATCAGAAGGTTTACCATGAGTTCCAAATATTCTTGGCATCTGCGTAAAATATCTGTTTTAAGAATCATCACAACCTGTACCAACCAACATATACGTATACTTATGATCCTAGCTTAAACGTTTTTATTTCGTACTCCTAAAGTATTATTTTTGGAAGAAAATGAAATTACGAGATGTAAGATACATGTTTCCGTTTTATTTCTAGAATATAACAAAATCTATTTCAATGGAACGAATGTTTCGGAAAATTTCGTGGTTCAAACAGTAAAAATGTGTTGGAAACTAGTTAACTCGATTAACGTCGACATGTCAAAAGCTTGTCTATGTCATTTGAGGCAATTTAACTGTACGTATAGTCATGATGTTTTTCTAATTGTTATTTTTTTCACAGATACTATTAATTTAAAATTATCACACATATTTAGGATTTGATTTTGTCGAATTTTTTTATAAGAACCTTTTAAACGAATGTTTTTGAATTAATTAAATAAATACAGAAATTAGTGGCGCTACAACCTTTTTAGGTCTAGGCCTCAGATTTTTGAATCTGTTTCATGATCATTTTTCAATCTAATTGGCAAGTAGGTGATCAACCTTCAGTGCCTATCACACGCCGTCGACTTTTTGGGTCTAAGACATGTCGGTTTCCTCTTGATGCTTTCCTTCACCGTTCGAGCGAATGTTAAATGCGCACATAGAAATAAAGTCCATTGGTACAGCTGGGAATCGAACGTCAACCTCAGGAATGAGAGTCGCACGCTGAAGCCACTAGGCCAACACTGCTCAAAAAATTTAATTTTATGTTGATTTTCTATTTACTTAGCTTTCGATAGATTTTCCTTCTTCGATAACTCATGGTAACTATACTGAGCGATTTACGGCAACGAGAATTATCCACTTGTTACACCAAGAGAATGAAAGCCTTATTGCGAGTTAGGTAACGTAGAAAATTGAAGCAATTTTCTATATAATACGCCCGTCATTGATTCAAATTTATGAGAAAGTGCCAGGAACGTTTCGAGGTATTCTGTTTCATGATTAGCCGTTACATGAAATACAGGTTTGCTTTGTTATTTCATTTTCGTTATAATACTTAGGCCCGCAGGGAGCTACGAGATTCGTAGACTCGTAGCAACAGCGTAGCTGAAAGTTTTTATTTAAAATATTTGAGACTTATTTAAATATATATTATGTTTAATTTTTATTTAAACTCTTATTATGATATAATAGTTAATTAAATACAATGGTGTAGTTATTTTAGTTTTGTTAGTTTTGTCCCTCGGTTACATTCGGAAATTTATTCTTATTTAGAGAAGAGTTGTTTGGCTTGATCCCTCCAGCCTCATTTCAACACCAAACTAGCCATATTAATTCAAAAATTTAATCCGCACCACCTTGATGACTGAACTGTCTTCTACTGTCTGCTTCATAAGACATTTTCTTTTGCGTACTAATGGTGGGATTCTTCCCTCGTATGTACGACCTCCAATTGTTTCAAAAGAGTATACTCTTCCCTCAAAGTCCGGCAACGCACCCACTATGTGTGTGCATGGGCTATCCAATAATTTAAAACGAAAAAAATTTGCTACACGCAATAATTCGTACAACCGCTACCTCGATTTATGTACATATTTAATTAAGCCTGTATTTCTTACATTATAATTATAACTCGACATTTAGATTCTTTTTCTGCAATTGCGATCAGCGGGAGGCACTTTGTCGCTGTAGTATTCGCGTCAAATAAAGACAATATCATTTAAAACGTATTTTGTTGAATATAATTAATGTTTACATGCTATAAAATCTTGAGCTATGTAGGATGTAATTCAACGCTCAAATACATGTCTGTAACAGGTTTATAACTGAACAATAGTAATACAGGGGCAGTTTAGGACAGTTAAACGCTGGAACGGGTTTATAGTATTAGTTTAAAGCTTACAACTTGAAGCAACTTGTCCTACGATGCTATCTCGGGTATTCAAGAGCCCAATAGAGAATTTAATCAAGGCTCTATTGAAATTATTATGTTATTAGTAAATATTAGCAGAATTGATATATTTGCCTTGCCTTTATTAAGTAAACACATATTTATTAAATCTCTGGCGTAGCCATAGACACAACTCTTGGGTTCAAGACGAGTTCCACTGAGTTTTGCACAGTGGTGTGGTGGTAATGCTGATAGGAAAATATCATGAAAAATCGAGTCCCAATAATCGATGGCGTGCATTTTTTTTATAACCGTAAAGGTGGTGCCATTTGCTTTAAAAGCTAGGGGTATGTGGAAGTTCCTACTGACACTAGGACCTTTGCTGCTCGGAAAGCCCCTAAAACAATTGACGGGTGCGTCCCGCCCAACCGCTTAAACAGACTTGCGGCGCTTTCTGCTTGCGTCACGGACCTGGTAGGAGATAAGCGTCCCTTCTCCTAGGTCTCTTCCTGCTCGAATGGGTTGTGGTAAAGCGCTTAACCCGAATTACCTACTTGCGTATAAATACTTGTTAAGAGAACAGATCAGGCGTATAGCAAGAGTGCGCCACTGGATATTTTATAACCATAATAAACGATAATATGTATTCTTCATGGTTCGGGGCTGTATATGTCACCGTAAAATTGTAAACACCGTTAGATTGTTATCTATCTCGCGAGATTGTAAACTGTCGAAAGATTGTGAACCTCAACGAACTGCTTACAATTAAACGTATTATTATTCGGTAAATTGTAATCTATCGAAGTGAAACCGTCAAATTGTGAAACGGATCGCACCTCGCGCGCTGATTGGTTGAACGGAATATGCCCGCGCCACACGTAATGAAATTTTCTTTCATTTCATTTCCAACACTAACTTAGTTATCATTCAAATTCTTTGGTCAATCACAGATTAATTTTACTTCCCAACAATTTGTGAGTTACTTTCAACACGACATCAATTTACATTCATCAAAACAATCAAGTTACATTCGACAACAAACAAATATGGTGGCGCGGGGCATATTCCGTTCAACCAATCAGCGCGCGAGTTGCGATCTGTTTCACAATTTGACGGTTTCACTTCGATAGATTACAATCTACCGAATAATAATACGTTAAATTGTAAGCAGTACGCTGAGGTTCACAATCTTTCGACAGTTTATAATCTCGCGAGATAGATTACAATCTAACGGTGTTTACAATTTTACGTTAACATATACAATATACATTAAGAAATTAAAAATACACGAAATTACAATTTTAGGCTTGCATAACGAAATTCTAGTTACCTAGTAATTAAATTTAAATAAATTAAGTATAAATAAATTATTCTTGTACATCTTAGGTAATTTGCTTGACATTTGATAATTATGAAATATTTCATGTTAATTTAAATTACACAGTGCTCGCGACATATTTTATTAGGGATATTATTGAGTAACACAGACAGATATTACGTATATATTTATAGAACATAATTCTAGTCTTTACATAGGTATAGGGTAGAAGCCATTCATAAATATAATTTAAAAAATTTGTGATTCAATAAAGAGTACCATGCGGATGCCTAATATTGTCTGTAAAACGTCGTGCGTTCGATTCCCTGTTGTGCATAAATAGACAGGTATAGACTACAACTGACAGGATACAACATGTCACGTGTCATTTGCCTTCCGACACTATCTTGACTTGAACATACAGAAATGTCATGCTTAATGAATGAGTTTTTACTATGACAGCCGAATTTTTATAAGCTTTTTTATCTACTCCCGCGAACTTCGCTTCGCCTTTATATGACGTTATGCTTAAGCCACGTTTTTAGTAATTACATACCATATGGAAAATTTTGCTATGTTACCCCATACTGGTCACGTTTCCCAAATAAAAACCTAAGTACTAAATAAATACTAAATTGTCAATTTTTGAAGTTAACCTTCTTTTGAACCCACCCTGAAGTTACTTATAGTTAACATTTTAGTTTTTTCTATTGTTAGTGTCGTTTTTCATACAAACGTAGAATAAAATTTTTGAAAAGATTTTTATCTTGTTACGCTAAAGATCGATATCTATCGCGTGTACATAATAAGTACACACACGTTTTTTTTATATTTTTAAAATTTTATTCGCATTTTTTCACAAAAGCTTTTCTCAGAGTTCTAGGAGTAAGGAAAAAAATACTCGAATTGGTCCGTCTTCGACTTTTGCGCTTAGCAACATGTTTTGCTGAACTCCAAGAATATTTTATTATTATTTCAACTTTGTCCTCATAGTAACAGTAAAAATGTCAAATAATATTCACTGTTCTTAATTAAGGCGTTGTGATTAGAATTCAAAGGCGATTTTCTAAGAGTTCATATTTCAACTAATAATAATGAAGGTCAGACGATTCAGTAATAAGATTTTGGGACCGAATAAACATAGAATTCTGCCTAAAATAAAACAATAAATTTAACATTTTTTATTGGACAGGGCAAGCTAGCAAAAGGCTCATCCGATATTATGTGCTATCGCCGCCCATGAACCCTTTCAATGCCAGAGGGCTCGCGAGTGCCCTGCCGGCCTTTTAAATTATTAGTGATAACAAGGTTATGTTATATATTTCCGAAAATTTGATGTTTTATAATAACATTATTAGTTGATTCTTTTATTAAAATAATGATAATAGATATACATTATTTTTCCAGAAATTGTAATATCAATATTAAACAAATGTTTTTTTTAATCCTATGAAATTGAACGCAAAATGTGATAAAACATTAGTTATAAAGGAGTTATTAATTTAGATTGTATTTCCTTATTATTATTTAAAAATTATAAATCTTTGAATAAATATGATTTTAATAGCTTTTGGAAAAATTCGGACTCTTTTTATATTTGTTTTATAATAAATGTCAGCCGTAATATAAACTATAATAGCTATTTTTATTACAGAAAATTGGAAGCCCGAAGGCATAGAAACGCAATCTGGTGGAGTGCTGGGCAGTTCGTTGGATTACGCTGCAGCTTTGATGCTGGCTGCTATGGCGGCCGTGCTACTCGCCGCTGTGGGGTACCAGTGTGCTGCTACATGGAGGTGGCTGATGGGCAGGTAACAAAAGAATATTTCAAGTGTCGTTATCCAAAAGATTAAGAATTTTCATTAACTACGGGGAAAGGAAAATATCGTGAGGTTTTGTTAGAGTCAAATATGTGCGAAATCTATCAGGCACAGATGGTTAAAAATATTTGCAGAAATCTCAAGCTAATACCGATAAAGAAATGTTTTATTATTACTAAGTAAGTGTAGTCTATAAATACAGATTTTTATCGTATTATAAAGAATCATCTACTTTTTCAAATACTAAGTAAATCGCTACAACCTTTTGAGGTCTGAGCCTCAGATTTATGTATCTGTTTCATGATCATTTGTCAATCTAATAGGTGATCAGCCTTCTGTGCTGGACACACGCCGTCAACTTTTTGGGTCTAAGACAAGCCGGTTTCCTTACGATGTTTTCCTTCATCGTTCGAGCGAATGTTAAATGCGCACACAGAAAGAAAGTCCATTGGTGCATAGCGAATCGAACCTACGACCTCAGGGATGAGAGTCACATGCTGAAGGCACTAGGTGAACACTGCTCATACTAAGTGGTAATTAGCTTAATATATATACAGAATAAAAGTTCCAATTATTATTAAAAAACTAAAGCTTTTGAAAACTCTTAATAAAGATCGTTTCCACAGGGTACGTATAAAGGTGTCCAAGCGAATAATAACGTTGTTCCAGATAACAATCTCTAGGAAATTGCATTTTGCTATCCTAGGTTAGCTTGGTTAGATAGGCTTTAGCGGGAAGGGTTGCATATATTACCTAGGGCTGGCGTGCTAAACATTTTGTTCCTTTATTATTTTTCTCTTGTAGAATTAATCTCTTATTTATATTTCAATGTATAGATATTAGCAAGTGAATTAAGATCATTCATTTATATAATCATAAAGTAGGATTTTGTGTGAGTTTGATATACGTTGCAATTTTCTGACCAATGAAGAAAAGGCACAATACTAATTAGTATTGTGCCTTTTCTTCATTGAATTTGATATTTAAGATTATTTTATGTTCAACATATTATACATAAAATCTTAAACCACTTTTTATATAAATATTATACATCAAAATTGATAAAGCAATACAATAGAAGTTTGCAACTGAGTTTAATAGTACCTATAAATATATTAAGAATTATTATTTTCAATACTAACTGTATCCTAAAAAAAAACTTCTTTATTGTTATAAATTTTTTGTATTTCGATATTTATTATAATCTAGAATAACTCGTTAAAGTTGTTACAGAAGCCGACGCAATTCTCAGGACAGCAATTGTGATTCCCTCTCCCGACAGGCGGCGATACGAATTAGTCACTCTCTCCCCGACCTACAAACAGAGCCCTTGAAAGAGGAGTATGTTCAGGAACACAAAGATACAGCTAAAAAAGTAAGTATCTAACAAATAATAGTAGAATAAAATACAAAGACTGCTTCTGGTGAATTTGTCTGACACAATTGAAACATCTTCCGGATTCGATTATAGCGGGAAAAACAAAAATTAAACTGACCAACATTTTCTACACAGTTTTGTTCCCTAGAAACATAACGTTATATTATATTAAAAAACCTTTTTAGGTCTGGGCCTCAGATTTCTGTATCTGTTTCATGATCGTTTGTCAATCTAATACGCAAGTAGGTTATCAGCCTGTGCCTGACACACGCCGACGACTTTTTGGGTCAAAGGAAGCTGGTTTCCTCACCATGCTTTCCTTCACCGTTCGAGCGAATGTTAAATGCGCACATACAAAGTCCATTGGTGCACAGCCGAGAATTGAACCTACGACCTCAGGGATGAGAGTCGCATACTGAAGCCCAAAACGGCTGACTTCAAAAAACCGGAAGTCATTACAATTGCGTTTAAAATTTCTACTGTATAAGGTTTCTTAAATGTTTCTTTTTATAAATTTGAAATTATTTTACTTTATTGAAAAGTATAAGCTTATTATTAATTCTAAACACATCACGAATATCAGCCACTATAAACTAAACTCGACTTAAGGATATGAACTAAGGTTTCCCACGTGAGTTCATCGACTCAGACGTTGAACTTTAAGACCTTTTGTATTCGCAGCGAAGAGTCACTTTGAATACTAATACAATGAATCAATGTTTGAAAAGCCTGCAAATTAATGATATAGAAAAAGTACGAAAAACAAATTTTACTACAACACTTTAAGTTAACCTCTACCTATAAAAAGCAATGTTAGTGCATAATAGTTAAGCGTTAGATTCTCAACCTTGCTGTGACCATTTCGATCTCCGACTGACCACTAATAGGGGTTTCTCTCTAAATTCGCTTTTGCTTGTATAGTGAATAAATACATCGAGTGGGAACCGGCATATTTTACGGCAACTTTCTATATTCGATCGAGCAAATTTAGATTGATAAATGTCAAAATTCGATATGTAGAAATCAAAAATATTTTACAAAAACCATCCATCGATCGGTTATTGAAAAGTATTTCATGAGAAATTGATTGAAATATCAATCTCTAGTAGTCAAAATTGGATTGGGATTGTGTATAGAAAGCGGCCGTAAGCCGCAATATCGTCGTGCCAGGACAGAAGTAATAAATTATATATAATAAGACACTTAACAAAGATACACATAGAAACAGACACACAAATAAGTCTAATCTTGCCCATATTAGGATGGACCCACAGGTCAAACAATTGATAATAATTGATCGTTCAACAATAAAGAATAATTATATGCAAGTTAATAATAATAATTATAATAATAAAGCCCGTTTTATTTCCAACCATGACAAAAAAAACAAATTATTATACACAGCTTAGATTATTTTACATTTTTATAAAAAAAGTTTTCTTATGCTTGTTATTCTATATTCTAGCTTCCTTCAGTACCGTCGATCGGAACCCCTTTACGGGTAAAGGCCTCCTCCAGCTTTTTCCAACTGACTCTGTCTATGGCTCTCTTTCTCCATTCGTTTCCTTCTACCGCTTCTATTTCTTCTATCCACCTTTTTTTTGGGCGACCTCTTCTCCTTCTTCCTCTTGGTCCTTTCCATACAGTTGTCTTTAAGGTCCACCTATTATCTGTGTATCTTGCTATATGCCCCGCCCACTGCCACTTCTGTTTTAGGGCATAATGTAAGGCATCTATAACTTTTGTTCTTCGTCTTATGTTTTCGCTTTTAATTTTGTGTTTTTCTTATTTTAAGTACGCTTCTTTCCATTGCTTTCTGGCATGCTACTAGTTTAGTTTTTATTTTTGTATTGTAAGTCCACGTTTGGCAGCCGTATTTGAGAGTAGGTAAAATGCAAGTGTCCAAGACAATTTTCTTGAGGTGAAGAGGAAATTGACCTTTTAAGATTTCCTTCATGGACCAAAACTTTTTCCAGCTCATGTTAATTCGCCGCTCTACCTCAAGTTCTTCATTTTTATCTTCGAATGATAATTGTTTACCAAGGTATATGTAGTTTTTTTACATATTCCAGAGGCTTTCCGTTAAGGTATACGGTAGTGTTTGTAGCAATCGCGCAGTTTGTCATTATTTTAGTTTTGTGCTCGTTCATTTATAGGCCTACTTTTTCACTTTCTTCGTTTAAGGTAGTTATCATCTTTTCCAGTTCCTTACTTGTTTCAGCGAATAAGACAATATCGTCTGCGAATCTGAGGTGTGTAAGTCGATCCTGGTTAACTCTTATCCCTCTTGACTGCCAATTGAGATTTTCGAAAATTTGTTGGAGTATCATTATGAACAGCTTGGGTGAGAGGGGGTCTCCTTGCCTCACGCCTCTACTAATCGGTATCTCCGGACCTCGTGTCTCTAGTTTGACTTGACTTACGCTCCCCTCGTAGATGTTTTTTAGTACTCTTACATAGTTCTTGTGTATGTGACATTTATTAAGGGCTTCCCAAATAGCCTCGTGGTAAATTGTGTCAAACGCTTTAGCATAGTCAATAAAAGCGATGTAAAGTGGCTTGTTAAACTCCCTGTATTTTTCCATTATTTGTTGCAGTACATGTATATGGTCCGTCGTAGAAAATCCGGAACGGAATCCGCTTGTTCTACTGGCTGATGGTTATCGATTGTCGGACCCAGACGGCTTTGTAATATTGACATGAATATTTTATAGACACTTGAAAGGAGACTAATCGGGCGGTAATTGGAAATGTCTTCAGGGTCTCCTTTCTTGTATAGAAGTACTATGTCTGATTTTCTCCATTGCGTCGGTACTTGACCTGTGTTTAAAACCTCGTTGAACAAGTACGTGAGTGGGCTAGTTAGTAGGGTAATACCAGCTTTTAAAACTTCATTTTGTATGCCGTCAGGGCGCGGACTTTTATCTGTTTTGAGTTTCCTGATATGTTTAAAGACTTCCTTCTCATCCACTGGTGGCAAATCGATCACACTTTGCGGTTTTGGTATTGCAGCGCTTGTTGCGGTGATACTTGATAAACAAGGAGTAGGTTTTGTGTACAATTGCTTATAATAGTCTGTGGCGCAGTTTATGATATCTTTTCTGGTTTTTGTTTCTTTAGTTTTAGATCGCAAGTTTTGTATCCAACTTTTATGTGTGGTTAATTTCTTGTATGCTCTTTTCGTGCTTCTGTGCTTGTATATATTTTCCTCAATTATTTTGTACCTGTGGTCTTTGTAGTCTTTATCTATTGCCTTGCTTGTAGTTTTAAATAGTGTGCTCAGTTCTTTCTTCATTTCTTTAGTTTTTTGTTTGGTTTTCAGGAGCTCAGTTCGCCTTTTAAGAAGAGTTTTAGTAGGCTCGCTAAGAATTTTGTTAATAGATTTTTGTTGTTTATGTATAGATATGCATGCAACGCTGGAGGCAATGATGCTAACTAAGTTGTCGTAAAAGGTTTGAATATCTTTTTCTTGTGTTTCCAATTTTTGCTTGTTGATCTCGAGATTTTTAAAGTACGACAAAATGTCCTCATCTGTCCTTAATCGCTTAGGTTGTGCTTTAAACGATGATCTACCTTTTTTCCTTGTTCAAGCGTTTAGGTAGCTCTAACTAAGCAGTGGTCAGATCTGCATCCAAAGCCATGAAGTACTTCGACGTTTCTTATCCTCGTCGGTTGATTTGACAAAATGAAATCAATTTCGTTTTATACTTTACCGCACGGGGAGAGCCATGTCCATTTCCGGTTTTGTCGGGCTTTGAAAAAGGAGTTCATAATTGACAGTTTGTGTTCAAATGCGTATTGAATTAGTTTCTCTTCTCTATCATTTCTGTTACCATAGCCAAATTTTCCTAGAACAAGATTATCTCTGTCTTCAGTTTTTAACTTTTGCATTAAAGTCGCCGATAAGAAACATGATATCTCCTGCCTGGCTTTGAGCTACCTGTTTCATAGAATGAGTTGATCTCTTCCTCTGTAGCCTTTTCAGTAGGTGCGTATACTTGTATTATTGTAATCAGTTGGTTGTTGTATTTAATTTTTAATAGCGGGTGGCCATATTCTGAAAAGGCTGAAAAACTGACAATATTATGTTTGTGTTCTTTTTTTATTAAGAATCCAACTCCGTATAGGCCGAGCGTTTCACCCTTGTAACAAAATATATAGTCTTCATGTTCTTCGATTGCGTAGCCCGTTCTTCTTACTTCTGCCAAGCCGAGTATATCGATTTTTATATTTTGTAACATGTACGTTAGTTCCATTAATATTTTCTTTGATGCTAGTGATATTACGTTGAATGTACCGATTCTGAGAGTATGATGCATTTGTTTTAATCTTTCATTTGTTTTACATGTGCTTGCTGGAGGGTTGTGGTCGGTCGGTCCCCACGGGGCCAGCCGGCTTGGGATTTATATAATTATATATATATATATATTATATAATTCCCAACTGTGGCACGGGAATTTTATATACGAATATATAGAGATATTACATGTATATTGAAATGATATTGAGCAGGGCGGCCCGCACTGAGAATGGCCTTGTCTGGGAAGACAGACATAAAAACCTTATTTTAATATTCAAAAATACCTGAAATATAAATCTTAGTTACTTAGTGTTCTTTAAAACGATGGTACAAAAATCATCATCTCCATTTGATATATTTTTAAAGAAACGAGACTTTAGCTAGCAACTCGTATTTATTACAAGATAAATTTTTCCTTTCTATTCCATTTGCACACCCTCCTGGACCGCGGAAGCGTTTAGACGTGTGCATTCTATCTGTTTTATAACTTAAAAATCAAATTAAAAATAAATTCCGTGCGAATAAATTAAGGTGTGTACCAGGAGCGCATGAGTTGCGTGCAGTAAGTGCATCTGTGCGAACGGGACAACACTTGTGAGACAGCTTAAGTTGTACGCTCCGTCTGCGCGCATCATTGATACGCAAGCTTTGTAAGTTGCCGTAATTCATAAGCGATAGCGGGTAGCGGAAATTTATAGGGGGCTGGTCCAAGTTTATTTTTTCGTGTGCTCTGGTGTCATCTTTTGTCAGAAATATGCCTCTTAAGCGCACACCTCCCAGCACCCCCACTCCCGAAGACTTAAAGGAAGCTAGGTTGAACGCGCCGAAAGCTTCTTTTTCGGGCTCCGCGCCAGATTTATCTAATGAGGAGCGAAGCAATGTAACCATGAGGCGCAAGCAGGATGAGTCCTATATTAAAAAATTCATAACCGAAATTAAGGATATGCTTGCTAAAGCAAACTCTCAAAATGAAAGTAAATTCACCTCCTTGCAATCCTCCATGAGAGAAATCTTGACACAAAATACAGAAATAAAAGACTCCATTGCTTTTGTCTCTAAGCAGTACGAAGATATGAAAGCTAAATACGAGAAATTGGAAAAACAGAGGAATGAAGATCGTCTGTATATTGATCAGCTTGAAAAGAAAATCGAGTCGCTGGAACGAACGTCTGCCTCAACTAAACTTGAACTAAGAAATATTCCTAAGATTACCGGTGAAAATAAGGATAGTTTATGTAACATTGCTTCAAAAGCTGCAGATGTTATTGATTTTCCCATACAGAAACAGGATATTAAGGATATTTATCGTACAAAAAGTAAAACTGGACATGGAGCAATTATTGTGGAATTGGGCAGCGTTATATTGAAAGATGGTATTATTGAAAAGGCACGCAAATTTAACAAAATGAATTCTGCTAACAGATTGAACACGGCACACTTAAGTTTGGAAGGACCAGCAAAGCCATTTTTTATTTCAGAATGTCTATCACCCTGCGGAAAACGATTAAATTATCTGGCTCGTGCATTTGCTCAGGAAAATGGATATAAATTCTGCTGGACCTCATTTGGAAGAACCTACCTGAGACAAGATGAAGGTAAACGGCATATTAGAATTGATAGTGAGGGTGATTTAAATAAACTTCGTCTAAAACAATGACTTTTGAGGCCCCCAGGAAACTCCGCCGGCCTACGATAACTTTCCTGTTTGTGAAAATCCGGCACTTAATTATTGTTTTTATAGATATTATTTTATTTTTTTATATATTATATTATTGTTTTTCTTTATATACATACTTATACTCTGTTCATTGTATTGTATTTTACATAACTAAAAAATTATACATTCTTAGTCTAGTGATCATGTTGAAATCGAGATCTTATCTTTGTAAAAATGTTAGCATTTCTCAGACACGAGTAGCTGCGACAAAAAGCTTAATATTTTACAAATGGCTAGATTTATTGATAATATAAATAATGATATTGATAATATAACAGTGGCAACTGCCTACAGTTGTGATATAAAAAATTGTAATGATTTAGTAAAAAAATCAGGAAACTCCCTAAAAATTATAACACAAAATATCCGTAGCGTTTACAAAAATATTGATGCATTCTTGGCCCATATAGCTCGTCTGTACTTTGATCCAGATATAATAATTTTAACTGAATGCTGGTTAAACGACAATAAACCCATACCCAGTCTCAAGGATTATAATTCTTATTTCACAAAAAAATGCTTAAATCAAAATGACGGTATTATAATTTATGCTAAACAAAATATAAATTGCGAAATTGAAGAACCTAATCCTAAAGATGCTAACTTTCTGCTAGCTAAAATAGTACCAGATATTGTACTTTTAGCTATTTATAGATCACCATCCTTTTACTACACTGAGCGCTTTTTGAATGCTTTGAATGATATTGTTAAATCTATATCATCTAAGAATATATTTTTAATAGGTGATATAAATATCGATATAAAACCTGGAAACGGTGACAGAAACAGTAACTCTTACTTAAATTTAACCAGCGAATTGGGTTTTCTGCCAGGCCACACATATCCAACACGATTAAGCAATTGTCTCGATCATGTAATGGTTAAAACTGTTTTACAAACTAGTGTTATAGTGATAAATTCCACCGTAACTGATCACGACTCTATTCTAATAAATCTATCCCTTAACAGTAAACGGACTAATACTCAGTGCCCTTCTATTGTTGAAAGAGTAAATTTTAGTGAAGCTATAAAATATGTTGAATTGGCTGATTTTACTTTTATGACTAACAAGCAAGACGCCGAGTCTGCTGCGACTCGATTTGTTGAAATTCTGTCATCTGCTATTAAAGCTAACACTGAAAAGTCCGTGTACCCAGGCGCAAAAAATCTCTTAAGCCCTGGATGACTCCGGGCCTACTTCGCTGTATCCGTCACCGGGATAAACTGCATCTTAATTTAAAAAGGGACCCCCAAAATGAAATTCTTAAAATAACCTATAAAAGGTACAGGAATTTTTGTTGCTCATTACTTAGAAAATTGAAGCGCGAACACGATAAATTCTTATTAAAAAGTGCAAAATCAAATAAAGAAACCTGGGCTGCAATAAAATATGTCACCGATAGTTCAAGTAAAAAATCTTCTGCCGATGAGTTAATTAGGAATTGTAACGCATTGGATGCGGTTGAGGACATAAATAGTTATTTTTCTAATGTTGGTAGAGAGCTAGCTGAAAAACTTACAGGGTGTAAGTATAACTACAAATGTACAAGATCTAATTGCTTGACTAACTCCTTCGTACTAATGCCACCAGATGAGGCTGAGGTGGAATCTCTCATCTTAAGCTCAAAAAATGATTGTGCCACTGGTTGGGACTCTATACCAGCTCGATTTCTAAAAATGGTAAGACATGTCATTGTATCGCCGCTTACTATCTTGTTTCAAACATGTGTGAGGGAAGGCTGCTTTCCAAAAGTCTTTAAAAGGTCTCTCATTACTCCTGTTCACAAGGGTGGGGCACGGGATTGTGTTGCAAACTACAGACCGATTTCTGTGCTTACAGCACTATCAAAAATCCTAGAAAAGATGCTTAACGTGAGGTTAATACAGTTTTTAAATCGGTACAATATTCTGTCCAGCTCACAATTTGGTTTCAGAATGGGTATGTCAACAGAAGACGCTGTGGGTAGCTTGGTTGAGTTTGTCACAGAAAAACTTGACAGGAAAAAAAAGTGCCTTGGTGTCTTCCTCGATCTTGCCAAGGCATTTGATACCGTCTCAATTCCTATACTTGTGGACAAATTGGAGCGAATTGGAATAAGAGACTCAGCCCTGCTTATTTTTAAAGATTTCCTTAGTGGTCGGGTGCAAAGGGTTAAGATTAATAATTATATTAGTTCCGACGCAAATGTAACTTTTGGAGTTCCGCAGGGCAGTATTCTTGGTCCAAGTCTTTTTCTTATTTACATAAACGACCTATGTAATTTGTCCCTAACTAGTTGCAGGTTGTTTACCTATGCCGATGATACGGCTATAGTTTTTTATGGGGACACCTGGACCGAGATACAAAATATTGCCGAAAGCGGACTGCAGAAGGTGGCTAGATGGCTCAGGGAAAATTTACTTACTTTAAATATTTCTAAAACTTCGTATATTCAGTTCCAAACTATTAATTCCCATATGACTGATATTAATCTTAAAATACACATATGTGTCTCTGAGCGAAATTGTACTTGCATTAATATAACAAAATCCAATACCATTAAATACCTCGGTATCGAATTAGATAATAAATTGAGTTGGCTACCTCACATTGAGATTATAACGGCACGCACGCGAAAACTAATCTGGACATTCAAAAAATTACGTTATGCCGCGGAATTTGAACTACTCCGCACTGTTTACTTTGCCTTAGTAAAATCGGTTATTGGATACTGCGTGAGCGTGTGGGGTGGAGCGTGCAAGTCACATCTAATTCAGCTTGAAAGAGCCCACAGATCTTTACTAAAAGTAATGACTTTCAAACCCTTCAGATTTTCAACCACACTTTTATATAAACAGTGTGAGCTCCTCAGTGTTAGACAGTTATTCGTCTTTAATATAATAGCCAAACAACATGTCCATACCCCTTATAACCCAGAGGTTTGCAGTAACAAACGCTGTATACCAAATGTACTCCCCACAGCAAAATTCCGTACTACCTTCGCAAGGCGACAACGAGCATATCTCTCAGTCTTTCTATATAATAAAATAAACAAAAAATTAAATTTCTACCCTCTTTCACTACATGACTGCAAATCAATTGTTAAGACTTGGCTTTTGTCCTTAAATTATGAGGAAACAGAAGATCTATTTAACTAACATGCTACAATAATGTTTTAGTTATTTTGATTCATTAATTATGTGTATAATTTATATATTTATACTAGTGTTACATATACCCATATGTAAAATGTATAATTATGTATATTTATGTATTATGTATATTTATGTATTTTAGTATTTTATGTGTATGTACCTATTTT